CGCTTATCAGCAGGCAGGAATGTTTGATAAGGTTGTTTAATCAGTGAAAAACTTTCAAAAGTTTTGGTTAGTCTTTGGCACAGAAGTTTTAGGTGGAGTGCGTGGTGCTGCTGATTCATCGGCGACCGTCCGCCAAAATATTCATTAGAATCGTCTACAGGACGATTTGCTTTTGCGACCAAATAAAAATGTTTTGCTTTTACGAAGCCAATATATGTCTATAAACAATGCTTTTTTCCTCTGACCTAATTCTACATCAAATAATGTAAAGACTACCGATTATTGAGCAGTTGTACGTAGATCAAGTTGACACTAGTTTTATACAAACAACGAAAAGCTTTAATAAGATCAGGCATCTTTTAAACAAAATGGCAGAATGCTAAAAATTCAAGGTAATACCTGTTTGTGTTGAAAACAGGTCTTTGCGATGTCGTTAAGATCAACATTAATGAATTGTTCTGAAACTACGTTGATGTAGCGTGGAATCACTGCAAAAAATATTCTTTTGAAGTTTAACTTTTTTAATTCTTTTTTTTGCTATCCTGAAAAAAATCATCTTTTCATAGTTACTCCAAAAAGAAGTCTAGTAAACTATAGATAAAGTTTCACATTACTTGTAGGCATTACTCAGCAAGCCAGAGTCTCGCTTGCACTGATTTCAAGATGTCATGTTACAACACAGTTTACTCTTTTAATACAACGGTAATCTCTGTTGAAAAAACTTATTTCTTTTGCTGTCAGAAAATTTCTCTTTACTTTTAAAAGACTAAAATATGTCAGACTACCGTTCCTACAGCAAAAATAATAAATAGTTCTTAAGTTTGATACTACAAAAATCAGTTTCTCATTACTTACTGTAAACAAGCATGATTTTGACATATCAGACACAGTTTTTCATGTTATGCGAAAAACACTAATAGTTGAGTCATTTTGTTATCACATATTTTATGGCAACCGTGTTGATAGGTAAGTAAAATGCTTTTTCGCTGTCTTCAGTGTAGGGAGGAAATTTTGTAAAAAATTTTGGAGCTAGACGATCTGTAAAGTGAAACCTTCTTACACATTAAGCTTCGACAAACATTTTAAATGTTTTTATATTGAAGAAACGAAAAAATAAATAAAAGATTTTAATATATAAAAATTGTCAGTTATGAAGTTGACAAAATTTTTTTTTACTTTTTGCGACAAAATACTGCCTCTTTTTCGTTATATATTGTTGTAGAGCCAGGAGTGAAAAAGAATTACATAAACTTATTCATCTACAATTGATGTTATTCTAATATAATAGAATGTATCGTCTTTAGTTATTATAATAAAAGCAATTGAATAGATAGCAGCCATCTTGAAGAGAACTACAAACTATTCCTAAATGGGTAGTTAGTTCTCAATAAGAAATAAAACTTTAATGACACAAATTTTTTGACTAAAACAGCATAAAAAAAACGTTTAAGAAATCTGAATGTGCCGCACGGCAATATCGTTTGACAATAATAAGCGGCTACTGGCTGTATCTTTAAAACCTTCTGAAAAATTTCAAGTGTCTGAAAAAAAATAAAAAAAATAATTTACTTACTTTATTAGTTGTTTCAAATATTTCTGAAATTGATCATTTTTATTTCTTCAAACAACAATTTTTGTAAAACAGTTTTTGGTAAGTTAAACACAAAAAAATTTCTCTGACCAACAACTATTTTGACAGTTTGAAGTTTCTTTTGTGGAGAGTTTGACACTTCAGTTTTAAGTTTTTGTTTGTAAATTTTATTTTAATTTTAGAAAATTAAAAACGGCAAATTTTTTCTTACAGCTACAAAAGTTTAGGATACAGGTCGCTAATGGACAGCGAGATAAATGTTAAAAAAAGAAAACTAAAAGCTTATAAAGGAAAGCTTCAATGAAATTGTTTCAGTGTTTATCGTCTCAGTTTAAATTAGTTATTTGTAGCATAATTAGAATTTTTATTGTGATTTGAGTGTCATCTCTCAAAAAAATTCTATAAAGTTTCATGAATAGAAATGGTAGTTAGTAATCAAATTTTTTCATTTTCCTACACATCATGTTCCTCTCTTTCTTCGTTCGCCAACTCCTCACCTCTTCTCTCTCCCAAAAGGCTTTGCCTAATTACTTTATTCCTGTGACAGTTCAGTTAAAAAGGAGGAAGAGTGACAGACGACTCTGCTTTGCAAGCTACAAAAAGCTCTTGAGATATAGCTCTTTCGCTTTCTACTAGAAAGTAGAATTTTGAAAATTAAATGCTGCTTGTTAAAAATCAACGATATTTGCTGAAACTTCAGGAATCTAAGAGTACTCTGTAAATGGCCACATAAGACACTGTTCTGGTATTCTACACCATTTTTGGTTCATTGTTTAATCGGTTTTTTCAAGAGCAGAGTTTCAAGAATGATTTTTCATAATATAATGTATCATAAAGTTATAAATATAAGATCGTTTAAAATACTAAAAGATTTGTTCAATTTTACAGTTTTGAGTGCAGCACAAATGACATTGTCGATGTAAGAGGGAATAAACTTTTGTCTATTCTAGTGAGGCTGGTTCATAAAGCAACAATTCTGCGATTTTATTAAAAATCGTTTTAGGCTCGGTTTCAACATACCTTAATTATGTTGCTATTTCAGAAAACTCTAAATTTTTAATCTAAAATTTCTGGCTTGTAAGACTAATTTTACACGTGCAAAATTACCGAACATTACTTGACCATACTTCGATCACTGTGAGACTCTGCACCAATTGCTGTGGCAAATACAAATAATTGGTATTGCTGACAAACTAGAGCCTAGCTCTAATGTAATGAGAGTTTTTAACTAACTCTAGCTTTAACCTGCGTATCACTCAGTACTTTCAAAAAAAAAAAAAAGTTGCAGAACGGTTTCTGAATTTTGTGTAAG